ATTCTTCACGCAACGTGTCATACAACAGTGGAACAACCTTCCACAGTCAGTCTTGGAGGCCACTTCCCATCAGATGTGCAAACAACGCTTGGATAATTACATGTGTCCCGTCCCTTCCCTCCCAGTCTGAATTCTAAAAACCAGACATATATTGTAAAAAACAATGCTACTCACTGTTTGCCAAAAAAAAAACCAGACATATATTGTAAAAAAAAAAAAAACCAGACATATATTGTAAAAAACAATGCTTCTCACTGTTTGCCAATACTATGTTAGGTGTGGTAAAATTTTATAGGTGCTGTACACCTTATGAATCGGGTTTTCGAAGGCGTTGCCTATTATCCTCACCAAATAAACTGAAAACTGAAACCAAACATTTTTAGCTCCTTAAAAGTGTCAGATCACACTCATTTTATCTTTTTAAACAACGTTTTCCACTTTTCTGTAACTTACTTCAGAATACTTGTTTAATAAACAAATTAAAGACTATATAGGGTGTTTCTACGAGTTCTCAAATTCCCCAAAAAATTCATTTTTATCACCTAGAAAATACCCGTGACAGCATTACAGTAAAGAATATAGGAGAGTTACTGCTATAAAAGACGCTGCTTTTGAATGATTTTATACAGGAATTAGAGTCTGAGTGTGCCATGTTTGCGGAAGGTAAAAAACACAGCAAATACTAATCACTGTTGCTGACAAAGCGAAAATCTTTGTGGGCCTTGATTTCCTTTCCTAGTTTCAAACTCCACCGAAATAGTGAATGGTTTTACTAACTGTCATATTTTTCTGCTAACCACTGCAGTCTTAACCTTCGTGTTTACGTTGATGCGGATACTTTGATACAGCAACAACAAATTTAAAGCCTTAGGGGGTTGTGAATGTATAAATGATTTGCATTCACTAATAAGTTTTATTTTTGTACTTACCTTCGAGAGACACGCTGTGCAGTTTTACTGAGTTAAAATTCATGCGACCAACCGAAATCGCCACAATATTTTATAATGTCGAGGAGTTTTAAAAACGCGAATTACCAGTCAACTTTCCCCTATAAGGAAGAGAAAGATGTTATAATTTTCGCAATTTTAACAAACTCATTCGTCTGCTTTAGATCGTGGCTGATCTCCAGCTTTTTCTTAAGCCAGCATTGAAAAGACTTTTCACTTATCTCGAAGGTCATTTGGAGAACTACTGCGCATCTAGCAGAGACCTTTCCGTTTATACGGGTCTCTCGGGTATTTTATATCTTCTGATAAAATGAATAGTCTGCTTGCTACCATATTGCAAACTTTTTGCTTTAAATAAACGAATCATGATTTTTTGCAGCCGCAATATATATGTATATAGAGCGATAGATAGGCGCTCATCGATGTGTACAGGAGTCACTCCTTCCTTTGTGATTTCGGGCTCAGTCTCGGGTCCTGTCGCACAGTGGCTAATTATATAGACAAGGGAATGGCCATTCCTGGCTCACTAGCCGTCATCAGCTCGTCACACTCAACCCCAAGTGGTGTTTCGTGTTTCATTCAATAAAATAATATTCAAACGTTTTACTGAAATACCACACTCTGAGAATTACATTTTCTATCATTTCTCAAGGCGAACCATGTACAGGTATAGCAGACGTTGGCACTACAGGTTACTTCGTTAAACCAAATATTGTAAAAATCAGAAAAATACAGCTCTTTTAGAAGAATATAATCTTTCTCAGTTAATGCAATTTTTATCAAGCTTTCTTTTGGGTTCGCTTTGCTAGTCTGCACTTAAGTACCACATTTTGAGCAACTCATCACCTTTGACAATTTTTCGAAAATTAAATTGCAGCCATTGCTGACGGTCCATCTCATTGACATTTCTCCGTTTATGTCTTTTCAAGGGATCCTCCTTCTTGGTGTGCGTTTGACCCAGTCGCCAAATCTTGTCACTGCACTGCAGTTGGAGGATTTTGCCACTCGCACACAGTCTCTCATTGCAGAGGCGGTGCAGCATCGTGAGAAGTGTAGACTCGCCCAAAATGTCAGCGTCCTCACCAGCAATTATATCGGGCCCTGTCTCGTGGGAGCTCTGCTTTATTGTCAACAGCGTGCTGAATCTGAGGCAAAAAAGACCTGCTCCATCTGCTTTGAAAA